GAAAATTTCTTCCAGGATCATTATATCCACCCAGTAAACAACTGGAGTCCTCTTGCATTATTTATAGGTCTGGTCTTATTTCTAAGCACAATTAGGTCTCTTGGTAACTAGCTCCGACTCACATTATTCTTTTTCTTTTACCTTTCTATAAGATTCACCCTCACTATTGCCATTTTTTCATAAAAGTATAGGAAAATGACTCATCTAATCACTCAGATGGACATATTCTATCTCTAATGCTACCGAGACACTAGTGCAGTGGGATAAACCATGTTAATATCGCTCAATTTAATAAATAAGGTCTCAAAGCTCCTTGAACCCTTTGCTACATATAATCCAACAGCTTTCACTGCACTAAGGCATTGATCCTATTCTGTTTCCTGTAATGAACTTCTGTGTGCACATTTTAGATCCAGCAATTTATTTCACTCTGATTATTCAAACAAAATGAGAACACGACCTTACATGCTAAAGGATAATCCACTAACCAATAGAACTCTCCCTTTCTGTGCAATCTGAATAATAAGGGAGTTTCATCCCCCTTAAGGAAATGAAAATGAGCAGTTATATTCAGAATTCCATTAGATTTGCCTCAGAGCTGCATCCATAGCCTAACACATATGCATAACACATGTATCCATGCCCTTTTACCTCAACCGGTGTTATCTATTCCCTTTCATTCCATAACCTTTATCATTTGTCTCTTTGAAGCAAACTAACATTAAGGCATTCCAGCTTAAAACTCAACTTACATTAAAACAGTCTATTAATAGAATTGATTCCACTAATCCTACTTATTAATCTTTTTTATTTAAATTTATAGGGAGTTTCAAAGACACATAAAAGCAGAGAGACTAATATACTGAGTAGTGGTAATGTAGTCATCCCTGAATCGGCTTCAACAGTTTTTACTGTGTTGTTATTCTTGTTCATCTGTCACTCTCCACACACTAAAAAATAATTTTGCTGGAGTATTTTAAAGCAACTTCCAGATAAGATATATATCATACTTAAATATTTGATTATTTTTAACATAACAGCAGTATTATTATCACACCAAACAAAATTAATAATAATTCTTTCATATCATCTAATATTCTGACCATTTTAAATTTTCCTCTATTTTCTCAAAAATGTCTATGTACAATTAGTTTGTTCAAATTAGAGTTCAAAAAGTTCTGCACATGGCATTCGGTTAGTGTATTTCTTAGGTCACTTGTAATCTAACAACTGTTCTAGCTCCCTTTTCATAGTATTTATTTGTTGAGGAAACTGTCTTTCTCATTTATCTTTATAGCATTTCCTCAATATTACAGGTTAAGCTTGCTTAACTAGATTCATATGTAACTCACAAGTTAGTCATATCAACTTCTCCCAGGCTTTCAGCCTTCTGGGAGCAGCCAGTCCTGTGTCACTTAAATAACAGTTGTTGTGCCTTAAATAAAATAAAATTACAAATGAATTAAATGGATATAATCAACATAGAATTAAACATGAAATTTTACTTTAAAATATAATTATTTTGACTTTTGATGATCTCACTAAGAAAGTTTCATGGCAAATTATCTATAGGGCAACATCATTTTTGGCCCATCTTGCTAACATGGGCTTAGCTCAAAGGAGAACTTGCATGATCATTAGATATAAGACATACATGCTTCACCTGTAAATACGGATACAATTGTCTGGGTATATATAGCTTTCCGGTGTGCTATGAAACTACACTTAGTGTGATCCATTGTTTCTACAGTTAAAACCACCCTGTTTTCAGTGTATTAGAAATGACTTCTAAGATTTATAAAGTTGAGAGAACAGATGGTTTCCTTTCTAAACATTTATATTTTCCTCACCCTAATAGCAGGAAGTTCATTTCAAGATTGCATTTCTGTGTTTGAATTGTTGTGTTTCCTCTAACTCAGAATGCAAACAAGTTGAGATGTATGATAAATTTTCAATATATTGTACAAATGGTGCTGTTGCTACTTGTTTGGATAACATTGTATGAGTAATTCTTCCCAAAAGTACACTGTCTAAAAATCTCAGATAAGGGGAGTAGAGTGCTGAGTTGGGTTCTAAGAATAGTTAGGGGAATTTTACACCTTTGTTTTCTTTTCAACTAGCTGAACCACTTAAGATTTTATGTAGTGCATATATATGGGGGAAAGGGATTATGGTTTATGTGACTAGTGTAGATTTGCACATTATACATTAACTTGTTTCTAGAATTATGTTGGTAGTATTTTATTTTATTTTTGTTTTTTGTTTTGTTTTGTTTTGGTATCACTTAAGGGTATGATAGTTGCAATGATTCTGAAGTAAAGTTTGTAAGAAAGACACTTAATGGCAATTTCACTTAATTTCTCAAAAGATTCATATTCGAGTATCTGGTTCAGGAAACTAAATTGGGTGACTAGGTAAAAGTAGTCTTATTTAAAAGAATCAAAATGTGGTTTCATAACTTTTAATGTTCTTTTAGTTATAAACAGTGTAACCCTCTTCACAGTTTAGGATTCTAATATGTTCAAATCTCTTAATTTCCTAATTAATTATTCTCAAGGACCTTATGTATCCTGATTAGTAAAAAAGTCTAATATCTTTCTCTTTATCAATCCTTCCTTATGAACACCCTTGGAGCAACTTTGCCCAAGAACCATCAGCGTTTGCTAAATTCAAAGTGTTTAACGGGCCAATCCTGTTTCCAAATGGCAGGTATAGAAAGAACTGCAAAATCACATCAGCTTATTAGTCCTGCATCATGGGGATTCCTCCTATACGATGCTACAAATGATGATCCTCCAAACTATATGGATGCTCATTCTTTATCTATTCCCTAGACAAGCCTCTATTATGTCCCTCTTTGAACTCCAAGTTTGGAGCTCTTTTAGTTCATACCTACATGTTCATTCATTATTTCCAAAGCTTCTCATGGTGCCAGGGTGACTGGGTATGAAAGGACTTTCTGTCTTAGCCACAAGTGTCTGCTAGAACCTTCCCTGTTCCTTGAATACTCAAGCTAGTGGTTCTCAAACTTGAATGTGCATAAGGATCACCTGAACAGCTTGAAAAACATGCATATTTCTTGCATAATAGAGATCTCATTCTGGATGGGTCCAGTAACCTTCAAGTTCAATAGCATTCCAGGTGTTTCTGATGCTACTAAAAATACATGACCTACTAAAGCAGTGGTTCTCATACAGCCTACATATTTGAATTATCAGAGAGCTTAAAAAAGATACTAACGTGCAGGACCCTAACCCTAACCAAGGAAATAAGAACATTTGAGTTTAGCGAGGGCATAGGTATGTTCCAAAAGCTACCCAGGTGTCTATGACCTGCAACCAGACATGAGAACCACAACCTTAGACAGTTATGATAAACACAGAGCTCCAGACGACTCCTGCAGGTGATAAAATTCTCTTTGGGGCACTTTGTGTTTTTTTTCTGTCATTTAATCTTCATCAAAGCCACTGCTGTCCAACCTGCCAGGTTTTCATACTTTTAAAATTCAGGTGGCCCTGCTTTTTCCATACAAATTGGCACTTCCAAAGTTGTGTGTACTAAAGGAAAAAACACATAGCTAAGAAAAATGGGAGTACTTATCGTATTGAACAATTAAGACTAACCTTTTGTGTAACTATTCCTGAAGCGGTTGTGTCAAGTTGCGTTCAACTACACAGAGAAAGTCTTTGCTTTCTGAAGTCGTTAGTTATGTCGTTTTACACACCCCATTACACAGCCCTGCGCTGATGGGCGTTAGGTTTTAGTGCACAGATCCAGGGAGTGTTGTCTAACCTGAGACCCTCTGTGCCCTCACAGTAATCTAAGGTAAAAATTGTCAGGCTCCGTCAGCTCGATTGCATGATGATGGAATCCTGAGCAGGGCGGAGATCAGCAGCTGTTTCAGCCCAGACACTAAACCTGATAAAGCCATGTAAGGCAATTTGAGTGAGGCCATTTAAGGTAACCTAATGAAGACTTAACTTTAGGATTAAAGTTTAAATGTTTCAACTGCTTCCTCAATTAATAAATGAATTATTTTTAAAACTAATGGGGGAAAATGGCAGAAGGAAAAAGGAGACTTTAAACACATTTGCTCTTTTCTCTTTAAGACCTGTTACCTTAAAGCAATTTTTCTATGTTTAATAAGTAATAAAATTATTTATTGTTTTAAATGATTTGGTTGAACAACATCTTGGGAGAAATAATAAATATGAATTGAAATTCTTTGATTATAATTTTACAGTTCATGTGTGATTAAGGAAATGTTAATTATAATATGATAAGATTAGTAAATATTTCCTTTTTCATTTTTAAATTCAAGGTTAATGTTTGCATGTGAAGAATTTGTAGAAAGAGGAGGTAAAAGACTTAGACACTGCCCCATCCATTAACCATTCCAAAGCCATCCCAATAAACTTCCAATGTAATAAGAACAACCAAAAAACATGCTCACTGTGCCAAGGTAGTTTCAAGACAAGTTCCATAAGCATCCCTCCCCATCCCAACCTAACAACCAATTTACTGCCTCTAAACCCTTCTATATAGAAATTCTAGAGTGTCCAATGATTTAAAACAACATTAGAGGTACCTAACATCTCCTAGTGCCTTTATGAATATCCTGTATTCAATATAAACTGTTATCAGAACCCATGTATGATTTATTTTTCTCCTTAAAACTTCATTTCTAAATATATCCCACATATGGCATGAATCGAAATCCTTAATACATGTAAAAATACTTACTAACTGTGCATGTGTGTGTATATGTGCACTTTTCCTTGCCACAAAAATACTGAAGATTATGTTATTAAAAAAACTTATAAGACCAATTTAATATCTACTGGGATTTAATTAGAAACATTCCTATCAGATTTCTACTGTAAATAAGGAATTAGAAGAGGATCTCTCTGACTGCCTGAGCAAATGCTAGGTAAAATTCGAAGTTATAGAGTATTTACACCTTTGGATTTGTTATAAACAGCCTTATGCTTTTCTTTTAGCCATTACTTGTCGCAAGCAAGATGGAGGCCAGGCTGGCATCCATGAGTGCCTCCAGTATGCTGGCCCTGTGCCAGCGCTTACCCAAGCCTGCCAGATCCCCTGCCAAGATGACTGTCAGTTGACCAGCTGGTCCAAGTTTTCTTCATGCAATGGAGACTGTGGTGCAGTTAGGACCAGAAAGCGCACTATTGTTGGTAAGAATAATTGGGATGCCAAAGCCAACACAAGTCAGACAGATAGAGTTCTGACAATGTATTTGAAAAATGCAGGGATATGCCTTATTGTTGCTATACTTTATACGTAATATGTCAGTGGATTCGGATGTGTATTTCAACATAAGTTGGCAGTGATAAAAGCATCATGTACTTTTAGTAGAAAGAAAAAGCATTCTTGAGGATTCAATCCAACCCCCTATACAATACACAGTAGATTATTTTTTTGCTTAAACATGTTCCTTTAGTGGACTGCCTACAGACTGTAAAGCACTTGGAGCAAAGATTTGGGGGAACAAGAGAAAAAGTTGCCATTTCATTTACTTAACCCGTCCTCACTGTCTGAGCCTCAGATTATCCTTCATCTCCTAGAAGGAGAAATATAACATTAATTCTGTATCTGGAAGCTGTGTTTCAAAAGGCAGTTAGTGACAAGAAGCAGGGATATGAACAAGAACAGGAACCATCATTCTGAACTAAAACCTAGTGCATTTGAAAATATCCTAAATTAATCACCAAGTGTATCAAAATGCTTACTGAATGCTTTCAGAAATACTGAAAGATACAAAATCATAATTAGAAAAGTAAAGCCAAAAATCTCATCTTTTGATATAGGAGTTGTAATCTTATATAACTATACCATCTATTTGGAATTAGCAAAAAAGTTATGTAGTCCAATGTGATGACTCTCCATCTCATATATTTGTACATATCATAAAAAAGAGGTTTATGCAGTTACCTCAAATTCCCCAGTCAGTAAAATACGTGATCATTTCAGAGGATTTTAATCATTTTGGAGAGTATAAAATTTAACACAAAAGTTAACGCCTTATACAAAATGGACTCTTTTTAAATGAAAAAATAAGACAAATTTTACTATGCAAAGCACCCAATATCAACAAGATCCTATATATTTAACAGAAAACACTATGGGGTGAGAAAATAGCATTTATTTATAGGTTACTGTAAAATATCATTAAAAATGGGGAAACTTAGAAAAGTAGAAAATTTAGAGAAGCTTGAAATTAATAATGGTGTTTTCCAATGTAAATTGTCTGGTGGTTTCTCTTCCACAGGAAAAAGTAAAAAGAAGGAAAAATGTAAAAATTCCCATTTGTACCCCCTGATTGAGACTCAGTATTGTCCTTGTGACAAATACAATGCACAGCCTGTGGGGAACTGGTCCGACTGTATTTTACCAGAGGGGAAAGTGGAAGTGTTACTGGGAATGAAAGTACAAGGAGACATCAAGGAATGTGGACAAGGATACCGTTACCAAGCAATGGCATGCTACGATCAAAATGGCAGGCTTGTGGAAACATCCAGATGTAACAGCCATGGTAATCCAATTTTTCTTCATTGTTATATATTTGCTATCTTTGGGAGTGAAGATGAAAGACACATGTATGGTAGTGGAGGGGAAGTGAAGATTTACAGAAGTATGTTCTAAATTAACACTGGAGCATCACACTATGCATGTATCCTTTATGTGTAACAGGACATTTGATGGCATTGTTTCATCTTCCAGAAGTTGGCAATTAAGTTTCAAGATAGTGACAGCAAAAAGGGTGTCAGAAATCTCCCTTGGGACTTATCAAGATCCCATTCATTCAGTAGACCCAACAATCCCCAACAAGTCTGTGTACAGAAAGCAAGTGAGGAGGACATAAGATCTAAATTCAGTTTGACATTAAAGTTTTAAATTAGACAGATTTTTTAACAACCAAACTGGTAAGCTTTACAGTGTACCCAAAATGTCATTAAGTAGCAGAAAAGAAAGGTGAAATGTAATAATTAGTGAAAACTCAAACATCTGTTTGAGTTGAGATTGGTGGAAAAAAAAAAAGTACTCCTAGGAAACTGTGCCCATTCATTTTATAAACCAAAAAAGAAATTTACAATGCAGTGATAATAATTGAGCTGCCAAAAGTTTGTGAACAAGACCATCTTTGATCAGAATATATACTGAACTCTTTAGTTTGTAATCTTAATGTAGCTATCATTAAGTGATATCTCTCCATTATTATTTTATTTTAATGAATCTGTCTTTTATAATGGAATGAGATCAGTTTACAGTGGATCAGCCTGAATCACAGAAGTCACATATTTGCAAATACTGTATGAAGATCTCCTACTGTCTGGATAGAGGTGACCAAGGACGGATGAGTTAAATTGCTAGGAGCAAGGAACATGGCAGTTATCATCCAACCTTGCTGAAATAACTTCTGCTCTTGTAACTGTGCTACTCCAGTTTTATTATAAGATTCAGAAAACAACAAAACTAATAAAACCATCTCACATTTATAAACCATCAAGGTATCATGGTGACACATTTATTGAAATCTCTTAAACATCTCCTACAAAGAAGTTTCTGAAACCCTTGTCTTTTTTTTTCTTATCTCACCATTCCTACCTTATCAAAGCCTAGTGATATACAAAGAAATGATAAATGTTTGAGATGATGGATAGTCCAATTACCCTGATTTGATCATTATACATTATATGCCTGCATCAAAATATCTATCACATATCTCTCATAAGTATAAAAAATTACCATCTTAACCATCTTTAAGTATACTGTTCAGTAGTGTTAAAGTACATTCACATTGTTAGGCAATCAATCTACAGATTCATTTTTTAAAAAATAAATTTGTGTATATTTAAGGTAAAAACAAAAAAGTCTAGTGATATGAACCCCAAAGAATCCATAATATTTAAGCTCTAGATGTATTTTTCATGTTAATACATGTGCATTGCTAAGTTGAAGATTATTCCATTCACACAGAACAATAACTATAAAAGAAAAAAGGGCTTAGTATTTATAATAGGTATACTTTGAGAAACATCTCTAAGATTAACTGAATTATTTTATTCTCTACATTAAATATTAATAACATAGGTCTTATAAATTAGATGCCAAAAAAATGTAAATACCTTTCCTATTTTGAGGTGATAATGTAGAAAATCATAATTAGTCATTCAAATATAAAATTAGAGATCACTGTAAAAATGTGTTTATCTTGTAATACAGCATATAAGTGTCTGCTCACATCTTAGCTTGTTATGCATAGTGAATCACTAAGATAATCATTTGTTTTTAACATTACCTGTGAGCTTCCAAAATAACTTTCATATATTCTCACTTTTACCCTGGTCTGTTAATTAGATGCATGAGAGCTTCAGTGAGCCCCTTCACAGTCAATCTTATTTTTAGAAAAAACTTTTAAAATATTCTGTAACTCTCATGAAAATGTTTGATTACTTAAAAAAAAGTAAAAGAACAAAAATAGCTGAAATTGGCCAAAAACAGTATACTTCTTACCTTAGCATTGTCAATTCAAAGCATGAAGAATACAGTACTGTATACTAGAGAAAGGCACACACAGAAAGAAAGCTAGGTCCCTGATGGCATTGAACTGCACGATGATTGTGAAAGGATCTAAAAAAAGATCCTTAACTAAAGGAACCGTTCCAGCTTAGTTCTTGGGTATGTCCTACATTATTCCTGTCTCTTTCAAGCTGATCTATGATGGGATTTCCAATGGATTATTTTAGTGTTTACTAACATATTTACGCAAAGTCTGGGCAAATTGAATCTCTATTGCCTGATTTCTTTGGAAATCACTACTCTCCTTAAATATGTTCTATAAATTCTGATGATGTTTGTGGAATGTTATAACTTTGCCACTCTATCCTAGGCATGCCCTAAATTGCAATCATATGACAACTGCTTTCCCTCAGCCAAATCAACTTTCTAGATGGATGAGTTTTAAGTGGCTTTGGAGAAAGTCTCTTCCTACTTTCAATTTAAACATAAAATTGATCTTCACGTGTGTACAGTGCAATGACACCAATCCTCTATTCAATATTGGCCTTAGGGCATTTCTGTTTAATCATTTTGTACATCTGTGGATAATGTTATCAGTTATTATACTGATAAAGCAGTTTGACTTTCACCTATTTATGTGATTTTAGATTATTTCTCAAGTGCTCACCTTTTTTAAGGGTTTTAAACTCGGGGCACAATTCTATTAGGTTTTAACTTCCTCATAATAATAGACTCTGTGCTGAAAAGTGATATAACTATACTCCTAAAATCAGATCTTCAAGTATACCTTGGGAGTGACATAAATGTTCATCTAGCCTGATACCTGGTATTAAATAGAGTTACTGCACAAATGTTGATATATAAATATATTTTTTGGCATTTATGTGTCCTAAAAACATAGTACAGATTATATATGTTTACTTTTGGTATTAAATCTTGCATGGTGTCACAATAGCCACAAATTTTAAATCACGCAAAAATCAAATCACATTGCTAGAATCCTCTAAGATTTCAATCAATGAGTTGACTAGAAATTTATTGAGTGCCTAACTACACAGTCCTAAATACTTCTCAACTTAATGACTCTCAAAATTTCACAAATCAAAGGGTTAGAATTTGGGGAACTTTTTTATGATATCATTTACCCTTGACATTTTAAAGAATCTTGGAAGTAACCGAGCTCTTGCAAGTTACATGTATACAAGATTTCCATTTAAGGGTACAGGATAGAATTTTATTGTGCCACCCTCCAACCTGACCCCGCATTCCCAAATCCCCTTCTCCTCCTCTACTTTTTGTATTTCTAAAACATGTCTCACCCTATAACATGCCACATAATTTACTTAATTATTATGTTTATTATTTATGTTTTATCTCCCATGCAAGAATGGAGATTAATGGGAATATGTTAAACTGTTTTACTCACTGATATATCCTAAGCAACTAGAACAGTAGCTGCTCAATAGAATTTGTAGAATGAATAGATGAGTGAAAAACTAGAGAGAATTATTTTTTCCATAGAAAGAGTTATAAAAAAAAAATTATGCTCTACAGGGGTTGCAGGTGATCCATAGTCAGGCTAACACACTTTATTTTTTCTAGACAGTTTCCTTCCCTCTGTATCACATTTCTGGGAAATAATCAAAGAGATCATTGAAAATAACTAAGATCTTTAAAACAAGTAAGAGCTACACATGCCACAAACTTTCTATATGATACTGGCCAAATATTCATGCAGAATGTTCTACCTACCAAATGGGAGGAGAAATAATACTCACAAAACCATTCCACTGAATTAAATCAGTAATATCCATATTGGAAGGTCTCTTTTGTTGCCATTTAAAGCTTCCTGTTCAGACTTGCGTGATTTGTATGACACTGAATTTGGAAACAGCTTAACCTTTTGGTTCATATTAGTAATTATGACAATTTATATTTTCCCAAACTGTGTTTACAACTGTAATTGCCAAGTCTGGGATATATATTTAATTTTCTTTGTTTCCATTCACCCTTCCTTGGGAAAATAAAGAATAACATCTCTATTTAATTTATTTGAAAAGGGTACTTTGAAGGTGAATTGGATAAAGTGTAAAACCACTAGACACTCCAGTCTTAAGTTCTGTGAGCTCCATAATTCCTTCCAGACACTTCTCTTCAATCTTTGCCTTGAGGAAATTTGTCTTTGCTATTTCACATAGGCAGTTTTAAGCCAATAAATATTCTAAAATTGAACTCAATTATATTGTGATGCTTTATCATCTGTTACTATCAAGTAAGCAGAAAGGCTTATCTGATGATTTTTCCTCCTGAGTCCACATTGTTTAACATGCATAGCTCTCCTATTGCCTAGAAGGAAAATATTGCTGTCAATACCTATCAAATACTTGCCAACATTGAGAAGCCATGAGGAAACTCAAGAATGAGTTATGAGGTTAAATTACTTGTCACCAAATATTTTCCTAAAGGTGCAAATAACAAATATTTTAGGCTTTATTGGCCAAAAAGTCTCTGTTGCGACTACTCAACTCTGCAGTTAGAGCATGAAAACAGCTGTAGACAATATGTGAGCAAATGGCCACAGCTGTGTTCTAGTAAAACCTTATTGACAAAAATGGCCTGGGCCATTGTCGGCATCAGGGATCTAAACCCTTGCTACTCAAAATGTGGTATAAACCAGTAGTACGAACAGAAACAGGAAACTGTTGGAAATGCAGAAACTCAACCCACATTGAGAACAATACACATTGCAAACCCTCTGAGTCAGAATATGCATTTTGACAAGATCCCCAGGGCTTCTACTGCACATTTAAAGATTGAGTACTATTGCTGTGGATTATGCAGACACTTGCAGTGTGCTAATGCTTGGTAGGAATCACGTTTTCACCCAAGAGGAAAAGACCTCTAGAGATTCTCTCTTTAAAACCTCAAGATGACGCTGCCTTGTGCAAAACAATCAACACCCGATAGTTCATTTGATTGCCAATTATGGGGAAGACAGCTTTTGGAAACTTT